GCCTGAAGCCTGCTTTGGATTCTGTGTCTCCCTGTCTCTCTACCTCTCTCCCACTCACCTCTGTCTCTCCCTCAAAAGTAAACATAGAAAAAAAATAATAATAAAAATAAAAATATTTTTGTTGGGGTGCCTGGGTGGTCAGTCAGTTAGCGTCTGACTTCAGCTCAGGTCATGATCTCACAGTTCATGAGTTTGAGCCCCACGTCAGGCTCTGTGCTGATAGCTTAGAGCCTGGATCCTATTTCAGATTCTGTGTCTTCCTCTCTCTCTGCCCCTCCCCTGCCCACCTCTGTCTTTCTCTTTCTCAAAAATAAACATTAAAAAAATTTTTTTAAATATATACATATTTTTTTAAAAAATTTAATATTTATTATTGAGAGACAGAGAGAGACAGAGCACGAGCATGGGAGGGGCAGAGAAAGAGGGAGACACAGACTCCGAAGCAAGCTCCAGGCTCTGAGCTGTCAGCACAGAGCCCAATGGGGGGCTCGAACCCACAAACCACGAGATCATGACCTGAGCTGAAGTCAGTCACTTAACCAACTGAGCAACCCAGGTACCCCTAAAAAAAAATGTGGTTGTTGAATGTTTTGTAACCAAAACGATTCTTATAATCAATACAAAAAATAAAAATATTTCCATTTTAGAAAAAAATATCTTCCACAAATGGCCCATATTATTCTGGAACATTCCAGAATGCTGAAGAATGATGCCTTCTCACCTCCTGAATTATGAGTTAAACTTTTGTACTTATGTTTGTAATTTTCTAAGAATAGGACAGTATTTTTAAAAAATCTTCAGAGGTTTGTCCTGGATCTGGAATGGCTCGCATGCTTTTATTTTGAAGCTAGAATAACTAGCATTTTAAGGCAAAGAAACTTTGGGAAATCGTACAGCAAGTAAACCAGAGTAAAAGGAACAACAACAAAATCCCATAATATCCTCAAGGAAATCAGCTGAAAATATAAAACTAAACATGGGCCAACAGTAAAAAGTTACAGACATGAAAATGGTTATGTTGAAAAACTGGGGAAGTTATATTGATTAAACAAGAATGATGTTGAGTATGCATTGTGAATTAACTAGGACTTTTTAATTTTCAGTCTGTGTTCTGTAACCAGGTGGAATAGACACTAAGTGGAAAGATTATTTAAATCCATCTAAGAATTTAAGAATACTTTTAAAATCTAAATGCAGGTGGAGTTCATTAAATCAGCTGTTGTAAAAGTAGTGAAGGCAGTTTTTTCCCCTTTAATCTGAGATGATCAAAAACCTTTTTATTTTGACTTTTTATTTGACTAACCTAGATTTTTCTACTTTTTTTCCCTTGCCACAGGATTCCTGTTAATGGAGAAACCCCCAAACATCGGTCATGGCATACTTTAACACCAATAGCTGATGATAAACTTTTTCTATTTGGTGGACTAAGTGCAGACAATATTCCATTAAGTAAGTCAACTAAAGTGTAGCCTACAATTATTATCTCATTCTTTTTTTTTTTTTTTTTAAATTTTTTTTTCAACGTTTATTTATTTTTGGGACAGAGAGAGACAGAGCATGAACGGGGGAGGGGCAGAGAGAGAGGGAGACACAGAATCGGAAACAGGCTCCAGGCTCTGAGCCATCAGCCCAGAGCCTGACGGCCTGACGCGGGGCTCGAACTCCCGGACCGCGAGATCGTGACCTGGCTGAAGTCGGACGCCAACCGACTGCGCCACCCAGGCGCCCCTCATTCTTTTTTCTTAATTGTATTTGATATTTAAGGTGTCTCTTTTTCAGATTTTCTGGTTTACCTTTATCCCCAACTGTATGATTGCATTAAGAATTAGAAAACCCTTTGCTTTAGTATCTTTGGCTCTCCATGTTCTCCTGTTTCCTAGATACATAGAAAAGAAAGGGTAGTTGAACCTAGATGAATTAAAACCCCTTTCAACTATAATATTCTGTGATTCTGTGCCTTCCTGATTTTTGATCCCAGTACAGTGTAGGCTGGAATGGGGATTAGAACAGTCTTCCCCAGAAGGCTCTGGAAATATAAGGTGGGAAGGCAGTTGCTTCTCTTTCTGTTCCAGAACTGTAAAGAAAGTGCTTAGCCAGAATTTTTAAACTCCTGTCACTGCTGATCCCAATAGCTATGGTTTTGTAATGCAGGTTTTTTTTTTTTTTTTCCAGCAGTGAAACTGTGGCATCAGGAAAGACAAATGACTAAGTATCCACTTCCTAGTTTGACATAGTTGATGTTTCATGTTTTCTTAACCCAGAAGTTTTCCATGGCTAGGAGTGTTTTCATAAGAAACCTTATATACCATTAAACTCATTTATATAATTCCATATGGGATCTGGAAACACGTATTTATTTTTCAACAAAAATGCATCAAGCATCAGCTTTGTATCCAGCAGTCTGCTGGACAACAGACAAACTCCAGAGGCTGGTTAGAGAAACAGGGGTTTCTAGCAGGGGATGTTAGTTATTGCAGATTATTATGCTTCTCCAATCTGAAGGTTCGTAATTAAAAGAGATTTGGAATCTAATAACTAACATCTATTTTTTCATTAGGGGTTGTTTAATAGAACATCTTTTTGAGCTCTACTGTTTCTAATTCCTATTTGCTGACTTTGGTCATTGACCTGTGGGAAATTCTATGTCCTAACTCTTAGTGCAGTCAGTTTCCTCCTGTATAGATTTAGTGTAACATACTGGTATTACATGATACTTAGAAGTTATTTTAATCTTGTTGACTATGATAATGGCATTGTGATTATGTATGTGATAATGCCGTTGTCATTCTGGAAAAATATGTCTCCTTTTAAAAGCCATGTTTAGTGAAGTATATATGGGGAAAATGACAGGAGATCTAGGATTTGGTTTAGAATAACTGAGCCACAAGAGTAACAAAAAAGAGAGAAATGGAGAACATGTAGCAAAATCTTGATAGTTGTTGAACCTGAGATATGTGAGGGGTCATTATCATGTTCACTCTACCTCTCTATATCTTTGAAAATTTTTGTGAGAAAATATGCATACACACAAAAGATAGTTGCATAAATATAGCATGATAAATTTGGGGGGAAATGTACAAAGACCTAATCTTAATTTCTTAACTGTCATAATATTGCAGGTGATGGTTGGATTTATAATGTCATAACAAATTGTTGGAAACAACTTACACACTTACCTAAAACAAGACCCAGGTAAATATAGAACTTAAAGAATAGTAAAATAGTTAAGAATTAATCAAGTATTAAATATAGCACTGATTTTATAGTGTTTGCCTTTAAAATTGTAAATCAAGAAAGATATCTTTCAAATAAGCTTGATGTTACCCAAATAATTTAATAATCATTTCAAATTATATCTGATTGTTAAAAATGGTCTATTCTGTTTTCATCCATATTTGCATATTTGAAAATGTTACTCTTTTAGGTAACTGTATAATCTTGCCTCATAAATACGAAAAGCCTAAGAAATTGGAAGTATCATATAATGTTAATATTTTTAATAAGTAGACAAGAATGGATTTGGCTTTAGTAGTTATTTGGTTTTGGAAGAGGTTTATTGCAATTTAATGAGAAAATAAGTTTCATGTTAATAAAATAGATGGCAGATATTTATTTTTATTAACTGATATATTCACTTATATGAATTTTTAAAAAAGAAACATGTTAGTTATTTGTGACATATTATAGAGAAAAAAATGTAGAAACAGCATATTATTATTAGACTACAGTTGATCCTTGAACAACACGAGTTTGAACTGCATGGGTCCACTTATTATATGGATTTTTAAAATAAATACAATACTATAAATATATTTTCCATACAATTTTCTTTTTTTCCCATATGATTTTCTCTCTTTTTTTTTTTTCTAAGAGAGAGAGAGAGGGAGAGGGAGAGGGAGAGGTGCGTGGGGAGGGATAGAAGTTGAGAGAGAGAATCTCAATCAGGCTCCATGCTCAGCAGGGAGCCTGACGCTGGGCTCAGTCACACAACTGTGAGATCATGACCTGAGCTGAAATCAAGAGTCAGATGCTAAGCTGACTGAGCCACCCAGGTGCCCCATCCCATATGATTTTCTTAATTACATTTTCTTTTTTGTAATTTGAGTGTAGTGGACACATGATGTTACATTAGTTTCAGTGTACAACATAGTGATTTGGGAAGTGTATACATTGTGTTACGCTCACCACAAGAATAGCTACCGTCTGTCACCATACAATGCTACTACAGTGCCATTGACTATATTCCCTATGCTGTACCTCTTATTCCCATGAGTTATTCATCTATTACTGGAAGCCTATATCTCCCACTTCCCTTCACCCATTTTTGAAAAATATTTATTTATTTATTTCGAGAGAGAGAGAGAGAGAGTGGGGAAGGGGCAGAGAGAGAGGAAGAGAGAATCCTAAGCAGGCTCCATGCTGTCAGCACAGAGCCTGATGCAGGGCTTGATCCCACAAACCCATGAGATCCCGACCTGAGCTGAAATCAAAAGTCAGAGGCTGAACCAACTGAGCCAGCTAGGCACCCCATCCCTTCACCCATTTTGCCCATCCCTCCATTCCCTTTTCCTCTGTCAGTCATCAGTTGGTTCTCTGTATTCATAGGTCTGATTTTGGTTTTTATTAGTTTGTTTATTCATTTGTTTTGTTTTGTTAAGTAACATTTTCTTTAGCTTACTTATTGTGAAAATACAGTGTATAAACCATATAACATACAAAATATGTATTAATTGACTATGTTATTTGTAAGGCTTCTGGTCAACAGTAGGCTATTAGTGGTTAAGTTTTCAGGATCCAAAAGTTACATGCAGATTTTCAGCTCTGTGGGGTATCAGTGCCCCAAACCTCGTGTTGTTCAAGGGTAAACTGTACAGAGAAAACAACATTAGTATTGTAATTCTTTTTTTTCCCTAATTTGAGTGAGTAGTATAATAAAGATATATTCATAGGAAATTGATAGAACATTTATAATCATTATAGTTAGTAATAGATTTTACTGTTTTCATGCCATGTATTTAAGGATTTTTTTGCTACAGATTATGTATACTAGTGTGAAGTCAACTTAATGACATGCATTTCAGAAGTTTAATAAGTGACAATGAAGTAACTTACTTGAGAAAAAAGCCTGAAAAAAATTGTATATATTTCAATGTGTACATCTATATTAATATGCCCCAAAAATTTAGAGTTTATCATAATTACATAAGTGATTCTTATATTTTCATGTGTAGAAATTCATTGTAATGTATTATTTTAGCAATTTGGATCTTTTGAAATGTATTTTTTAACTTAAAGAGTTTTATATTAAGATATGGGAGCCCAGAGTTCTAGTCCTTGCTCAGCTACTACCTAGCTTTTTGGCTTTGGGAAAGTTACTTAAAGAAACTGAGCATTAATTTCTTCATCCCATGAAATGAGGAAGCTGGACTAGAGACGTTCTTAGTTCTCTTACAGTTGTTTGATTGCATTAATATTGGGCCAAAGTGGTATTAAGAATATGTTTAATTTTTAAATTGCTCCTATTTTATAATTCTATCCTTAATAAGTAATTAGAGCAACACAACTATTATCAATAATATATGAGTTAGAACTGAGCTATGTAAAGACATTTCTTTGAATTCAGCTGATGTGTCATGTAAATAATATGCTTTACTAGAATGTTTAGGTGATAAGTTTAGAACAGCTGTGAGAGGACATAAACTATCAGTCTGTAGACAAAACATCAGGTCGCAAGCTAGATGTCACCAAAATCAAGGCAGGAAAGGCTTTCCAGTGTTCTTCGATGATGAAGTCCAGGCCAGAGTTTCCCTAAGGCAGATAAGACAGAGGCAGATCTATCTTCAGGTATGAGGTGAGGAGGATACAGTTTAGTGTAAGGAGAACATATATATGTGGATGTATACTAATTTTTATGAGTGAGAGTTTACTTAACATCTGAATACGTTTTGTGCAAACTGTTCCAAGTTATACTTTAAAATGTGAATGGCCCAATTCTCCTCTTGTAATTCTATGCAGGATTTCTCAACCTCGGCACCATTGACATTTTGGACCAAGTTATTCTTTGTCATTAGTCCTTTGCAGTGTAAGATGTCTAGCAGCATTTTTGGCCTTTACCCACTAGATGCCAATAGTATTCCCCCACCCACCCACCCACCTGGAGTTGTGACAGTCAAAAACATTGCAGATATTATCAAATGTCCTGTGGGGGCAAAAATCACCCTTGGTTGAGAACCACTGTTCCACAGTGTACCACCCTCTCCTCCAGGTCTCACTGTGGTTAGAGCAACGCTTGAGTGAAAGGCCAAGTACAAAGCCGTATCTAATTGCCTGTGTCAGTGGCTGTCAACAAGGACCCCTTTTTAAATGTGTCTGTGAAAGAAGTCCAATAAAGTATTGGCTTATAGAGCCTTCGGTACTTACTGTTGGGTCCCATGACTGTTGCCGAGGTTATACATGGCCTTCTCTCCTGGAAATTAAGCATTCCTTATATTCCATTTCCTTTATCCAGTCCCCATCCCCGACCCCACAATATAATCTGGGTGTTGATGAAGATTTATGTCAATTTATGTTCTAACATATAAGTTGGAGAATTGGGCAGAGTGTTTCCTAAATAAAATCTCTTATGGCTCAGTTCTATCCTGGGTCCCGAGTGCAACTGTCCTTGAATGTGTGAGTGATTGTGTGAGGAAAGTATTTGATTTAACAAATTGTGCATAACCCTACTGTTTGCACTTGCTAAAGTTAAGTGAAAAGTATTAATGTACTAAAAATAAGTTATGTGGTAATAAAGGGTAATATGTAATTGTTTGGGATGTCTTTTGCTGCAGCAATTTGGTCTATTAAGAAAAGTCATCAAAATTCTCTAAGAGTCAAAGCGATGACTTTGTAAATTTCTTGATTTAGCTTCTAAAATTGAGAAATTTATGTGTACTTTTTTTCCTGAGAGTTAGAGCTCCCAGAAATCTTGAATTTTACAAAACTTAAGATTATTCTTTGTAAATACTGTGAAATTGGAGATGACTATGAGCTATCAGACCATTTCAAAAAGAACATTAGATGCTCTACTCTTATGAAATAACTTGTTTATTTAATAATTGAATATGTAATGCTGGTTTTTGTATTTGCTTTTGTTAATCAAGAGTTTTGGAGCACCTTCTGTGTGCAGAACACAGTGTTTAGGTATTTTTAAAGAGAAGCATAAAATTAGATTACCCAGGTTCCAGCGGTGTGCTGGTAAAGGGTTAACAGCTGCTCTCCAGGAAAAGTAAAACCAAAGAGCCCAGCTTTGTAGCATTTTCTGGTTTCCATCATGGCCAGTTTCAAGCTACCAGCATGATGGCACTGAACATCGATTGGAAGAGGGATAGGCACAGTTGGTTTCAACTAGCTGCTAAGCCACTTCCAGCACACCACTGCCAAGATTTGACCTAAGGACCTCATGTGTGGACCTTTAGAAGACCCACACATCAAAGAATTAAAGGAGTGTATAGGGCAGTTTATCTTCAAATATAAGTCAGAAGATTATAAAATGTGTACATATATGTTGAAAGGTGCTGACCAGAGAAGGTAACAGCCAGTTAGTTTGGGTATTTGGAACACTTCCTGGGGATATTGAGCCTGTGTTTAAGGCACTGCAAGAATGATTTATCATCCTAAGCATAAGAAATGGGGTGAGCAAAAGCCTAGAGATAGATAAACTTTTCTCTTAGGGGATGAAAATAAATGAACTTGGATGAATTAGAGGGTTCACTGCAGGGGGGGAGGGACCAATAATTAAAACTTGTGGAAAAAAAGAGCTATTGGTTATGAATATTAGGCTAAGAAAAATGGCACAGATGCTTCCTGATCAGGACATGTCCATGGTTAAAAACATTTGAAAAATGTTATTAATCAGCTAAATGTAGCTGAGAGAGATTAGAGACAGAAAAATGAAGAACATGTTATGGTATTTTGTACTCAGAGTGATAAGTAGTATGACAGTCTAAATGTGAAGGGAATGCCAAGTTGGGTTTGTCAGATGATGGGAACAGAGAACAGGAAAGAAAAGTAAAAAATGATGAAAACAGTAACATGGCAGAGAGTCCTAAGAAAATTAGGGAAAGTGTCCATTTAGCAACAGGATGATCAGTTCCTTTCTAACTAATTTATTTCAGTGAGAATATCTATGAGATAAAGAGGCTAGAAAAAGGTTGGGGGGGTATAACAGAAAAGAATTATTGGGTGGGGGGTCATTTTAATTGACATGATTTAATGAGGATCTAATCTTTTAGTGATTCTCGAGGAATCTTCAAAATCTAACCTCTTTTAGGATATGCCAAAGTTCAAGTTCAGTCCTGCCCATTTTGAAATAGATTAAATGTGAAAGTGTGCAATTTAAAATTGATTTATATGTAATATATGGTTTCGTTCTTCATAGTATTTTACTCTCCTTATAATTTTCAACTATAGGTTATGGCATACAGCCTGTTTGGGGAAAGAAAATGAAATAATGGTATTTGGTGGGAGCAAAGATGATTTACTTTCCTTGGATACAGTAAGAAAATTTCCTATCTAAATATTTCCTCTGAGTAGTTTTGTTATTTAAACTAAAAGGCTATTTAACAAGATTGTTGATGTTCCCACATTGCAAAATATGGAAGAACATGAAATGTTACTCTGTGGTATGACTAATCTTCAGAATGAGTGGCTTTTGTGCAGCATTTAAGGATGTTTTGAGTCTACAAATCAAAATAGGTCTATTAACCTCATTAGCCAAGTTATTTTTTATTTTTTTATTTTTTAAAAATTTTTAATGTTTATTTATTTTTGAGAGAGAGAGGAAGACAGAGTACAAGCAGGGGAGAGGCAGAGAGAAAGACAGAATCTGAAGCAGGCTCAGCACAGAGCCCGACACGTATTTTTTTAATTAAAAAAATTTTTTTAATGTTAATTTATTTTTGAAGGCGGGAGAGACAGTGTGTGAATGGGGGAGGGTCAGAGAAAGAGAGAGAGAGAGAGAGAGAGAGAGAGAGAGAGAGGGAGACACAGAATCTGAAGCAGGGTCCAGGCTCTGAGCTGTCAGCACAGAGCCTGATGCAGGGCTTGAACCCATGAACTGTGAGATAGTGACCTGAGCCGAAGTTGGACGCTTAACAGACTGAGCCACCCATGCACCCCTTTGTTTTTTTAAAAAAATTTTTAATGTTAATTTATTTCTGAAGGAGAGAGAGAATCTCATTGGTCAAATTATTAAGAAAATCTTTTAAAGGATGACTCTTCCCTTTCTCTTTGAGGCTTACCATAGTACGGATGTTTATAATTTTATCGAATTAAAAGATTTGTAAGGTATAGTTGATATTTTATAAGAATGTATATAACGTATACGTAAACTAAGTAGAGTAATAAGTACCCATGAAATTTACTACCTCCCTCGGTAACTAGAACATCAATGCTAGTTTCTCCTGTCAAGAGGAAACTAGTTTGGGGGCGCCTGGGTGGCGCAGTCGGTTAAGCGTCCGACTTCATCCAGGTCACGATCTCGCGGTCCGTGGGTTCGAGCCCCGCGTCGGGCTCTGGGCTGATGGCTCAGAGCCTGGAGCCTGTTTCCGATTCTGTGTCTCCCTCTCTCTCTGTCCCTCCCCCGTTCATGCTCTGTCTCTCTCTGTCCCAAAAATAAATAAAAACGTTGAAAAAAAAATTAAAAAAAAAAAAAAAGAGGAAACTAGTTTGAAATTTTTAAGTGTATTTTCTCTCTACTTTATGTGTCTTTTGCCACTGCTTCACTCATTTTAATTTTAAGATTAAAGCATTGTCATTTTAAAATCTGATAAAACTAAGGCCAAAGAAATAAATGAATAGCATTTGGAGAGTGTTGTTCTTTCACTCCTAGCACCTCGGGAAGTTCAGAGCGAGGTGGCCATGCTCATACTGTGCTGTGTTGGGACAGGAGTTGGGCATTGGTTGCTCTGGTTTATATAGGACATTTGGGAATCGAGGGACTTGGAGCCATCAGGGAGAGTGTGCTCCGGCCAGAATCAGCCAAGTTGGTGCCAGCTCTCTGGTGGATATCTCTTCAGACTAGTTCTCTCTGGAGCTGCACCTGCCCAGTGGCAAACTCTGAAATGAGCTGGTTTCTCTCCAGGGGGGTTGGCTGAGTTTGCAGTTTTGGGGCCTCCAATTTGAACGTTATGTATATTGGAAGTTTTAGAACTTTTTGGCTAAGAATTCAGTGCTTCAACAAAAGATCAAAACCACGACTTGGCATTTAATTAAAAAATAAACTTTGTGGTTTGTCTTCTTTTTCTTGGCACTAGAAATCGGTAGGATACAGAGTTTATCATTAAAACAGGAATTCTGATTAAAATCATCATAAATTATGGAATTCTAAAGACTTATTTGAAAGGATTAGGGACATTTTCTGCCGACTCTTCCACATTACTTTCAGATGAAAGAATCATTATTCAAAAAATCTTCTGGATCTGAGATTTCCAGATGGGACCCTTGGCGAAAGAGAGACAAGAGAAAGAGATCTTAAAATAAGAGTCATTTGGAAGAGAAAAGTTCTGCTTAAAAAACAAAACTTGAAAACCACTACTTTTCTCATTTTGAACTCACTGTTCTAAGAGAAAAACATGTTTCTGAGTTTTAAATTTGCAGTTGTATAGGTTGTGGTTAGGTAGAAATTTGGTCGCTGAAAAAAGGTAGCAATGTACCCAAAGTTTGTGTGGATAGCAGGTGTTTATATGTATATGTATGGGGTGTGTGTGTGTGTGTGTGTGTGTGTGTGTGTGTGTGTGAGTAAATAGCTAGAGGGAGATTTTTTTGCTGCTTTACGTAATCTCTGTTACATTTACAAAAAGAAAATATTTATTAATGCAATTTTATTATTTTGAACACCTTTATAATTCTTTTTTTATGTTGATTAGGGCCACTGTAATGATTTACTGATTTTTCAAACACAGCCCTATTCACTACTCAGGTAAGTATTTTAATTATATATACATATTTATAACGCTATTAATATAGGATAATTTCTTTCGTCTTCCTTTTTGGGAAGCATTATAATTTTTCAGGTAGATTAGGATTTGAACTTAATAAAATATTTACATCTTCCGAAAAGTATAGTCAAATTTGTAATAGTGAACCATACACCAATGTGATTTTTAAAAATTAAAATATGCAATATAATCATTTTTATTTTGTGCATAAAATTGCATTTAGTTCATATAGAAGTATTAAACACACTGTATTTCCTTGATTTAAGTCTGAAGTTTTTCATATTTTAACTCTTAGGAAATCAGTGTGTCTAATAATAGACACACATACATATATATGCATTTACTTAAGTAGAATTTCTTTTTTAACACCAAATCTGTTATTAAGTTGATGGTGTGACGTGGTGTCTTAATTCACACACGCTTGCTTGCTTATTTATTTATTTATTTATTTAAATTTATTTTGAGAGAGAAAGAGAGTATGTGAGCTGTGGGAGGGGCAGAGAGAGAGGGAGAGAGAGAGAGAGAATCCACACTCAGAGCAGAGCCTGACTCGAGGTTTGAACCCGTGAATTGTGGTATCATGACCTGAGCCAAAATCAAGGGTTGATCCTTAACTGACTGACCCACCCAGGCACCCCTCGAATATTCTTGCTTTAAATTTTTTTTTTAATGTTTGTATTTATTTTTGAGACAGAGAGAGACAGAACATGAGCAGGGTTGGGGCAGACACAGAATCCAAAGCAGGCTCCAGGCTCTGAGCTGTCAGCACAGAGCCTGACGCGGGGCTTGAACTCACAGACTGTGAGATCATGACCTGAGCTGAAGTCGGATGCTCAACCGACTGAGCCACCCAGGCGCCCCTATTCTTGCTTTAAAAGGAGTATATAAGAGGGATAGTTGGAAGATTGGGGAAGAAGCCCCTGTCTCTGTCTGAGAGTCAGGAGGAAGGTTCTGAGCGAAGTAGAAGTGGCCCAGTGAACAAGTGTGGTGTTTTATGCAGGAGGAATAACACGGGTGAAGGCACATGAGAGAGACATATGTGTTGTATGTCAAGGAGTAGGCTGTAACTTCTAGACGTTCTACAACTTGGACCACTTCAAAACCATTGGACCAGCTCAAACTGGACCATCCTAATATCTTTCATAACTGCTCCTTCTCTTATTTCAGTGGTTCCTTCTGTTACTGCACATTAGAATCTCATAGGGAACCTCAAAAAGTATTGGTGTCTGTGTTCCATGCCCACATGTTATGATTTAATTGATCTGGGGTGTGGCCTGAACTTAGGAATTGTTGAAAGACCCCAGGATAATTCTAATGTGCAGGCAGAGTTTGGAAGTTGCTGATGTAATGATTATACTGCCTTGTATTGTTACTTACCTTTTACTGTGAACAGAACTACTTTCCCAAAGTAGATTGCAAGTTCCTTATATACAAGGATCAAAAAATACAGTATTGGAGTGCCTACCATGGGCAGGCACTGTGCTATAAAATGAAAAGTCATGATCTTTCCCTTGAATTGCTAATAATACAAAAGGTAGGGTTTCAACAACTATAAAAGAAAAATAATGTTGCTTTAAGAGTAACATATACGAAGTTAATGAGACTCGTGGAAGAGAAGGCCCTCTGTCCACGTGGTTAAGGTGGTGAAGGTTAGGGGAGTCTTTGTGTAAGAGGGAGGGTTCGAGACAATTTGCTATGAACAAGCAGTGCATGGGGGTTGGTACAAGATATGCGAGTGCAGTATGTTCTGGAAACTGAATTCCTGAATATTCCTGAGACAAACATATGAGGTAGGGAGTTGGACAAGAAATCAGCAACCATATATCATCCAGAGCCTTGTGTTTCATGAAGATAAGTTTACATTATCTAGTAGATCAAGAAGCATTGACTAATTTGGAGCAGAGGAATGAGATGTTAATATTACAAATTAGATGTTATACATACAAAAATAGATGTTAATTGACTATGTCATCTGTAAGGTTTCCTATCAACAGTAGGCTATTAGCAATTAAATTTGGGGAGAGTCAAAAGTTATATGTGGACTTTCTACTGCATGGGACCTTGCTACCCCAACCCTCTCACTGTTGAAACTATATTTATTTATACGCTGAGGAGAAGAACCAGCTGTTGGAAACACAAGAAAATGGGGCGCCTGGGTGGCTCAGTAGGTTTAACCTCTGACTCTTGACTTTGGCTCAAGTCATGATCTCAGAGTTGGTGAGTTCAAGCCCCGTACTGAGATCTGCGCTCACAGCACTGAGCCTGCTTGGGATTCCTACTCCCCCCTCTCTGCTCCTCCCTAGCTTGCTGTCTATCTCTCTCAAAATAAATAAAAATAAACTTAGAAAAAAAAAAACACAAGAAAATGAAGGAAAAATTGGTGCAGCGGGGTCTCGAGGAGGTGGGTTTTAGTGAAAAGGTAATTGAATTAGTCGTTGAGTAGAGCAAAAATACTTTTTAAATAATGAAGAAAGTAGGGATGTAGAGGCAGATGAATTTGTTGGCTGGGGGGCAAAGCACTGAGAAAGCGTAGTTGGTAGCAAGGTAAGAAAGAGGAGAGGTGAGGACATGGACTTAGGAGTGGAGAAGATTTGAAATCACTGCTGCAGTGGCTTTGAGAAGATACCGACTGGGGCTGTATAACACAGCACTGCAGAACACTCAGGGGGCTCAGCTGAGACCTCGGAGAATTGAAGGGATGGGCTCTGTCTGCAGAAGCTGGTTTTCTCCAGCCGCACTGAGCAGGTGGCTGCTGCAGAAAGGAGCTGGCTGACTGAATTCTCCCATGGTTGGAGTTTAGCCAGGGTGATGTAACAGAGGGACAGCAGAGACGGGGATGAAAGTTTCTGGCAAGAGAATGAAGTGCAGATGGGCCGGGCTGGGAAGGAAAGGAAGCTGAGAACAGAGGGGACTTACTGTCTAGAGAACTGGGAAGAGCGAAGGGAGTGCGCATGGGAAAAGGATGTAAGGCTTCTGGTCCCTCCTAGAGGAGAATCTGGAAGTGGAAGGTTTTAGAGGCAGAACTGTCCTGAGTGAGGTTATAAAGACTGAAAAGAGTTTTCCACACAAAGTTCTCAACAACAGGGGCGGGGGGTTGGGGGTGGGGTGGGGGGGGAGGGTGCACCACCTGCAGGTGAAATGACAGCAGCCTGGAGCGACAACAAATACTCGAGTAGCTCCTGGACTGTGTTAACGGAGACACAGGAGAAGCGGCACTCTTTTCTCAAGAAGACTGCAGGCTACGCACTTTTCTTAGATTTCAGTTAAAGCAAGGGCAGGAAGTCAGAGGAAGCGGAGGTGTTTGCGGACACAGCTGGTGTTCTAAAAAGCACAGAGTTTGGAAGGAAAGATAAACAATGATGGGGAAGGTGGACCAGCATAGAAATGAGAGAAAGGCACAGCACAGACTGGATGGGCTTGTGTTTGGGGCTGGGACTGAGTGTGACTATCAGTCAGGCTTCTTGGTGTCACCCTTTGCCCCTAGCACAGTGCTTCTGCGAATGCGCACACACCCTTTCACACCCTTTTCATGCTGGGCTCATTTTGATGCATCAGAACTTGAATTAAAAACAAAAACCAAAAAACCCGTTGACTATAGCAGGAACTTAGTGGTATTCTTGCGTTGAGGTGTATTCACCACAACCAGTGGCCCACAGTGTAGCCAGAGCAATCTTTTTGTTTTAAATTATTTAATAATAAAGGATTCCTTTTATTTTAAATTATTTTAAATTCTACTTAAATTTTAAATTTAAGTCAGAAGGCGTTTGGCACCTACTGTGTTGAGGCAGTGGAAACAAATAGGAATTTGCCGCAGAGGCTCCTCATCTCAAGATACTTGTCTGATCTAATGTATTTGTGGGATCATGCTCATCGTACATTTGGATACCTATATAGGTTTAAGATGAAATACCACTGGTGCTTATTCTGATAAAAAAATAAGATGTATTTACCAAGAAAACTCACACAGTATGAAAGGTGTATGGTAAAAAAAAAAAAATCACCTTTGAGCCATCGTCCACAATGATCTTTGTTAAGAGTTTGCTGTTTATCCTTCCACACTTTAAAATGAAAACTGTTGTGGTTTTAACCATGCGAAGAGGCCACTGGAACCTTGAGAGCAGTATACATATGCATGTGTATGCTCACGTGTGCATGTGTGTCTAAAGGGTCAAAGTATGCATCCTGTTTATAATCTGCTTTTGAGACTCGTACTGTGGGTATCTGTCATGTAAACATATAATCATTCAGTGATTTATAGACCTATATTTATGTTCGTAATGGCTGTCCAGTGTTCTGTTTCATAGAAGTACAATTTCTTTACTAGTGTATTGGTATTTATTTAGGATATCTCAATTGGGGGCTATTATTAGAAATTTTGTGTTGTCATATTCCTGTATATGCTTTTGGAAAACGTGCATGTCTCCTCAGGAGAAACTCCTAGAAGGGCTGTTGGTGGATCAAGGCACGTGCACATTTTACACTGTGATGATCACGCAGTGGCTCCCACTGCCTTAGGCAAACCGCACATTCCTTACTGTGGTGTTCAGGGCTCCACCTGTCTCTCTACCTCATTTCCCGCCATGTCCCGCTCTCGCCATTCTCTAGCTATATTTGAACCACTCAGTTCCAGTTTCTGGAATAAATCTTATATCTCATTTCTAGGGCTTTGCAGGTGTGTGTCCTCTATCATGAATAATTTGTTGAGACTCTCAAGGTCTCGGCTTGGACATCCCATCTGGAAGGTTTCCCTGGCTTGCTGTGGTTGTCTTCGCTATTCTCCCTGTCTCGTTCCCCTAGAACCCTGTACCTGTCAAGGCCATTTCATGTTATCCCAGTCTCAACATTGTTTATCCTCACTAAATCGTAATCTGCCTGAAAGCCGAAATAGGGTTTTTCTCAGTATTGGATTTCCTGCTCCTAAATAAGCTCCTAAATAGTGCACATGAATAAATATTTGTTGAATCAGTGAATGAATAGCAATGACAGAGTCCATCTCCTCATCTGACTTGTCTCTTCTCCCTGGTGGAAGGGACACAGGAGCTATTGTGTTAACATAGCCGCAGAGTTAAACTTATATCAAGTGTAAGATTTGTGTCATTCACCTGCACATCTCCCATGTCTGTGTACAGCGTTTTCACTCTCCTTGCTTAGAGTTTTCACAGAGAGAAAAGTCTTCCTGAAAGTATGGAAGATATAAATATCTAAATCCTTGTAAAAATGACAACTGAGGTTAAGTACAGCAGAATCAAGTGAATTTATTTTTAAAATTTTTAACAAAGATTTGCTTCCCTGTTTGATTTAAAGCTTATCAGTTGAAATAGATGCTTTTTTGATAGCTCATCAAGTTTCTTTCGGTTTTAAAATGCAACACCTTCTTCAAAGTAACTTAAGATAAAAAGGGAGTTGGAATCCTTCCAAATAGGAAGGATTCTACAAGGTAGTGGAATCAGAGGGGAAAAATGACCACCCAGACTCCCAGGACGGGAGAACCTCAGGTGGGCTCTCATTGGCTCTTTCTGCATTGCTGTTCCATTCCTCTCTTCAGACCTGCTCTCTCAGGGTCGGTGTCAGTCACTAAGTCACATGTGCCAGTGAAGTGAGTTACAGTGGTGGGGGGGGGGGGGGGGGGGGGGACCAGGTCACTTGGCGTAAAAATGGATGTTAGATGCTTCATCTTGGGGCAATGGAAGAAAAAGACAGTTCTCAGAGAAGAGTAAGTGGTTATTGGACTAGGAGGATAAATGAAAAATGATCTGCTACAGACTAACATGCTTTGAAATTAAATCTGAATCTTTTCTGTTTAAATAACATTATGCATGGTGCATAGTAAGTTGAAATTTCTGTTTCCATGGGCTTTTGGTCAGATTGGCCTTGAGGCTATAAAAATATACAATTATTGTGGTGCTCTGGGAAGAACATGTATCCTATCATGTTCCAAACAATACAGAGGAAATATGTTATCATGTAACAATTTTATAATAATTTTTTTAAGAATACTTACCTATAAATATTTTATAAGTTCAGATTCAAAAACTAATAATTCTTTAATATTTTATTTACAGGTCATGCCTAGACTGCATTGGTAAAAATGCTATAGTTTTAGAAAGTCAGATATCTTTATTACCTCCTAAACTTCTGCAACAAGTGCTCAAAAAAATAACATTCTGGACTGCAGCTAATCACCGAGAAGAACAAAGAATCCAAAAAGAAGAAACTGAAAATAAGTATCAGTGGATCAGTAGCAATTAAGTTGTCATATACTCTCTATATTTAATATGTGTACACATTTTAATCAGACTGTATATTTACACCCCCCCCCCCCAAAATTGGAGGATTTAGAAGATAAAATTTGAAACAAAAATGCTATGTCCTGGTGATTATAGGCCATGGAATATATGGGAATAAGATGTTAATGGAAGATTATATTTTATATTTGTAAACTAATTTCCTAATTAGCTGCAGGAAGAAATATACTTTCTGAAAGTACGTACAATTGTAAGAGATTTTAACTCACTGTGTACTCTTTACTGAAAAGTTTATATGAATTTGAGGAGAATGAGAAATTAGCCCAAAGACTTAAGAAATCCCCCAACATAATAATAGATAAAAATACTATACATCAACTTTCAGAAAGAATGGATTTTCTCAAGCCACTTAAACATTATCTAAAGTTTCTCATTAAGTAACCCAGTAATTTAAAAACTTCTCCTTCAATAACTGATGCAGCTGGGCAAAATGATAAAATAGGCAAGCGCTGATATGGATTAAATAGTGGACTCCTACCCTTTAGCCCTTACCTAGTAAAGTCTTATTGAGCTTCATTGTAACTTGTCCCCACCTTTATTTGAATAGCAGAATAAATGCCTTCAGTTGTCTTTCATTACCCCTAAGTTACTAGCTAATCCAACTTTATAAAGACCATGTTTTAAAGTGTCTAAAGTGGAGATTAACTTATCATACAGACTTTGAAATATGGGGAAACAGTAGATATATTAGCTTTTGAGACCCATCAAAATATATTTTTGCCCTGGAAGAATGCTTCTAAAGTAGTTTCTGCAAGTAATGAAATGGGATGGTAACTTAGTAATTTGCCTTTATAGAAACCCTGCTATTTGGCCCATAGGGAAATATGTTGTCTTCCTATTTATTTTCAGTATTACCTGCCTATACAGAAATAGCATCCTATATTTATATTCCTTTAGCCAGTACTTTTGCCATAATTAAGAAGTTACTCATATTATCACAGTTATACGCTTTCATTGAATTACTAATAACAATGAATTATTAAGAAGCTCAGTATATAAAATTATTCTCCTTAACACCACCATTCAAGTTATCTCTAAAATTTAAAACACTAGAGAGAATATATTTCTATATTGATATATATATGTAATTTATAATGATAATTATAGTAGTTTGTAGTATCATTAAATTTTAGATATATTTTATATATATGTACCATATTTTGGATGTGTAAAGGCTTCTATTTATGTATTGAAATACTTTGTGCTTACATTTTATTTATTATACAAACTCTATAGATATACTATTTTCCTAGTTTTGTTAGTGTAAACCAGTCATTAGAGTTGATTGTGCAAACAAGATTTCAGTATAAGTTTTCTTTTTCTTTTCTTTTTCTTTTTTTTTACTATTTTTAGGCTGAAAACATATTTAGAAAAAGGATCTCACAGGCAATATACATCCTAGAAGTAATTATTACCATGAACTTCTGTTATCAGCATTTTTTAAGGGGAAAAAATATGAACACCTATTGGATAGGGATACATGACATTGAGTTGAATGGACATCTTTTAAAGTGTAGATTATGGGAATTTAAATTCTAGATTAGGCAGACACCTCTCTAGCCTCTTAGAAAAACACTTCTGGTTTTAAATGGTTTACTTGGAATGTTAAAAGTTGGATTCGCCCCCTCGAAACACACTGGCGTTTAGGCTTCAAGAGAAATCTGTTGCCTGTGGCACACAAAACCGGTGCTGCTCTTTTTTGACTTAATATACTGTGCTGCTTCAATAGTAGGAGTGGCAGGAAATTCTGATCCTTACCTGCAGGTTCCACAAGTTGACTTCAGCCAGGTTTTGCTTCTCTTCTGTTAGGAGCTGTAGAAATTCTGGGAGCCTGCAAAGCTCGTTTCAAAACCTCAAAGCCAAGCATTATTAATCCTTCACTTCTCACTAGCTGATGGTTTCCTATCAACTCTTGTGCTGCTGACCTCCATGGTGTAGAGGAGCCAAAGACACTGACAGCCTCAGAACTTTCTCTCGGAACTCCCCTTGTGGGCTCTCTGTTCGGAAAACAATTCTGCAGGGGTTGATAGTTTTTTTCAGGTGGTTCACAAAATAGGTTTCCAATCTCGTCCTCAAGGAAAAAGGATTTCTGGCCATCTTTATTTTGTCTTTCAGGATATTTTTCCAGTTGTCAGGAAGGATTCTTTTGAGTATTAATCATCTTTAGTGTGATACAGTAAATAGCCCATCTAAGTTAGTGTACATTTTTTTTTCCAAACAGTGTCTTTGCACACATACCCTTAAAAAACGATTAGCCTTTGGATAAAAGCTTAAAAGTATTCTTTAGAACTTTTTACTTTCAGTCCAGGATGAAGTGGTGCTTTCACTAATACCTTACTTATATCGTACGTGTATGTGAGAGAGAAATAATATAAAGTCACGAATTTTCGGGGTAGTATGTACTGTCTGACGAAAAAATTTTGACTTCAGAAAATTTCAAAAGAAAAGAAGCAATTTTAAGAAACATAATGCTCCCTGTCCACCTTGTGTATGTGTGTGTGTATGTGTGTGCGCGCACATGCATATGCGCACAGCTGTTTTTTCATTGTATTAATGTGATTCTACTGGAATTTCTGGTTTGATGAGGTTACCATCCAGTCCAGCATGTGGGTACAGCAAGATCATTCTTTATCACCCTGTTACAGACTGAATGTGTTTCCCCCAAATTCATATATTGAAACCCTGCTCCTCAATCAATGTAGTAGTATTTGGAGGTGGAGTCTTTGGAGGTAATTAGGTTTAGATGAGGTCATGAGGGTGATGACCCCATGATGGGACTGTTGTCCTTATAAGGGGCAGAAACCAGAGCTCACTCTTCTCCTGCCATGTCAGGATGCAAGCCCATGAAAAGGGCTCCCACCTAGGGTCGAATCCGCCAGCACCTTGATCTTGGACTTCCCAGCCTCTAGAACTGTGAGAAATAAATGTCTGTTGTTCACACCATCTGGTTTGTGGTATTTTGTTGTATCAGCCAAGCTAAGATGCACCTGCGGTCCAAAACTTACATTAGGGTTCATTCACTCTTGGTGGTATACATCCTACAGGTTTAGACAGAAGTAAAACAACATGTATCTACCATTATAGTAGCATATAAAATAGTTTCACTGCCCTAAAAATTCTCTGTGCTCTGCCCATTCATTTCTCCCTCCCCACTAACCCCTGCAACCACTGATCTTTTTGCTTTCTCCATAGTTTTGCCTTTTCCATATGTTATATAGTTAGAATCCCATAGTATGTAGCCTTTTCAGGTTGGTGTATTTCCGTAGTAACAAGCATTTAAATGTCCTCTGTATGCTTTCATGCTTGAAAAGATCGCTCATGTCTTTGCACCACTGAATAATAATATTCCATTGTTTGGATTGAACCAGAGAAATTTTTTAGGATCTTCTGCATAGACAATCATGTCATCTATGAACAAAGTTTTGTTTCTTCCTTCTTAACATTTTATTTCCTTTCCTTACTGCATTGGTGATGACCTCCAGTACGATGTTGAAAAGTAGTTGTGAGAGGGGACATCCCTGCCTCATTCTTGATCTTAGTGGGAAAGCTTTGAGTTTCTCATAGCACTAAGTATGATGTGAACTGTAGGTTTTTGTAGATGTTCTTTATTAAGTTGAAGTTTCTTAGTTTGCTGAGTTTTTATCCTGAATAGGTGTTAAATTTTTCTGCTTCTACTGATATGTTCATTTGATTTTTCTTTAGCCTGTTGATGGTGGATTCCATTAGTTGATTTTTGAGTGTTGAACCAGCCTTGAATACTGGGGCTAAGTCTCACTTGGTCATGGTGTATCTCTCTTGGTCATGGTGTATAATACTTTATTTTTTTGGATTTGATTTACTAATATTTTGGTGAGGATTTTTGCATCTGTGTTCATGAACAATATTGGTCTGTCATTTTCTTTTCTTGTGATGTCTTTGTCTGGTTTTGGTATTAGGATAATGCTGGCCTCAGAATGAGTGAGGAAGTATTCTTTGCTCTATCTTATGAAAGAGATTATGGAATATTGATATTTCTTTAAATGTTTGTTAGAATTTACCAGTGAACCCATCTGAGCCTGTTGTTTTCTGTTTGGGTAGGTTATTATTGATTCAACTTCTTTAAAATTTTTTAGAACATTTTTATTCATTTTTTGAGAGACAAACAGCATGAGCAGGGAGGGCCAGAGAGAGAGAAGGAGACACAGAATCTGAAGCAGGCTCCAGGCTCTGAGCTGTCAGCACAGATACCTCCCGAACCCATGCAAGATCATGACCTGAGCCAAAGTCGGCCGCTTAACAGACTGAGCCACCCAGGCACTGCTGGTTTTATTTCTTTAATAGATATAGGCTTATTCAGAATGTCTGCTTTTTTCTTACGTGAGTTTTGGCAGATTGTGTCTTTCAAGGAATTGGTCCATTTCATCCGGGTTATCAAATATATGAGCAGAGTTGTTCATAAGATCTCTATTATTCCTTTAATGTTCATGGGATCTGTAGTGTTGTCCCCTGTTTCACTTCTGATATTTGTAACTTACGTCTTCTCTGTTTTTTCCTTACAGAGCCTGGCTTAGAGGCTTACTGATGTTATTGATCTTTTCAAAGAACCAGCTTTTAGTTTTCTCTATTTCTTGTTTTCAATTTCATTGATACAGCTTAAAAATTTTTTTTTCTTCCATTTGGGTTTAACTTGCTCTTCTTTTTCTGGTTTCCTAACATGAAAACTAGGAGGGTTGATGTTACATCTTTATTCTTGTCAAATATGTATACGCATTCAATGCTATCAGTGTCCCCCTAAGCACTGCTTTCAGAAATTCTGATAAATTGTAAACATAGTGGCAGTGACTAGGGAAGGACTTTTAGGCTATGAAAATCTGAGTGAGGAAAGCCTGTGTTAATTGTTCAAAGTATCCCTTCCAAGCAGTGGTAGCAGCGTGAAGATGGGGAAGAGACAGGATAATAAAGCACACTCCTCTCACCAAACACATCCAAGTAAAGTGGCACCATTACATTAAGGATTTAAGATGCATTCAGGTACAACCCTATTTTACAGGTGACTAAGTTTAGATTGCAGTAATTCTTTTCTTGACCTAATTGAAATGTATCAAAATGTAACAAAGCAGTATCTGTGTGTGTGAACAGAATTTGCCATCCTCCCTTAAGGACTCGGCGATGATGGTTTCTGAAATACTTTTTGAGCACAATTTTCCAGACGGGGCTTGGAAAGTAAGATCTCTGCCGAAGCAGAAGAGCTTAGCGAGCAGAGGTGCCTGGAACCGCTGTGCGGGCACCGCCGGGGTGGCACGAAGTCGGGAGCCCCGCGCGCATCCGCGCGGGAGGGCCAGGTGCCACGCCTCCCGGACACAGGAAAGCGGGGCATTGACTCTCTTTTGAAGCTGAGACCGCTAACTCACTGAGCAATGTCACAATGTCACTACCCCTTTTCAGACTGTGAACCCTTGGAAAACATTCCTCAATCACACAAGGAAGATTTCTCAGTAAAAAAAAAAATTTTTTTTTTTTATGAGAAGGCTGGCCATTCTTCCCACTCCAGTGCCCGCAGCGAAAGGAGGTCAGAGGCATTTGAGCCCAGGGGCCACCACACCATCTGGGGAGCCCAGGCCGGCCGCGGCTGCAGCAGCGGCGGCGGCGGCGGCGGCGGCGCAGGCGGAGGACCCGGGGCGTGCTGGAGCGGCCCGCCTGCGGCCTGGAGCCCAGCAGGAGGGCGTCAGCGAACGGGTTGTTCTGTCGCGGAGCAAACAAGGGCTCATGTGGTGGCGGACGGCGATGGCGAGCTGATGGGGCGTCATGTTGGATTCTGTCCCGGCCCTGACTCTTTCCTGCTCCCTTCGAAAAAACAGGGGTTCTGCCGCTGCCGCTGCCGCCGTCATGCCCCCCGGCTCCAGGCGTGGTCGCCCAGCAAAGGCACCCAGGCAAAGTGGGAGGTGGGGCTGTCCTCGCCGAGGAGGGCGCCGAGGGAGGTAATAAGGGCCAAAGGGCGGCCTTAACCCCGTCCCTATCTGCTCGCCTGTCGCCGCCGTGCATTTCTGCCTTTTCTTTTGTCTCTTTCCCCCGCGCGGGTGTGGGGATTGTTGGTGAACAAACGTGCAGCCTCAAGATGGCTGATGGCAACGAGGATCTGGTGAGCGACTGACTCTGCCAGGGCCAGCCTACGAGAGCAGTGCTGGAGCTGCCTCGGCCTGCCGAGCGGCAGGGTTGCCGTAGCCGTCGGTATACATTTGGGCGCCACACATGTTCGTCTGGGGCGGCTACAAGGTCAGTGGGCGGCCGGCCGCGGCGGGCGTCGCTCGGCTGGACCCCAAGTCCGGGTCGGCGGGGGTGGGGGTGGGGGCAGAGCGGCCGCCCGGACCCCCCTCCCCGCGTCGCGACTGTGCCCGTCGGTGCATTTTCTTGCGAGCGGGCTTCTCCTCACCGGTCCCCTAATCCGCACCGACGCTCCTGGGCTGCTGTCACTCCAGCCCTCTGCTTACGGGGCCCGCGGCGGCCCTGGGCGCTGTGGACGTTGGAGCGTTGTTTGGGGGAGGGCACGTTGGGCGGCGCACGACTACGATACGTGTTATGTTTTAAAAGGTGGGGCGCGGGTGGGAGGTAAGAGAGGTGACGTTGTGTGAGGTCACTCTTACCGTTTGTCGGCCCGCTTAGAGCACTTCATTCTCTGCAGCTGGGGTCCTTTGGCCCAAGGATACCGTTGCTCGCTTGGGCAGTAATCGGGGTGTAGGAAAACTCTCTAGAATTCCCGAAGGCCGCAGGGATGGCCTTATTCAACCTTCCCGCCAGTTCGGGAGGCCTAGCTACACCTGTGCAGATGGCCATCACCCTGCTGTTTGAACATTCCAGGGCTGTTATGCTTTCAGCTGAGAAAGAGTTGACAATTTTCAGAGGAAACCCCTATTAAGAAAACTAATGGAGAAGGCGCCAGCAGCAACCAAAAAATCAGTAGCAACAATTGTAACTACCAAGTTCAGCTCTCTGACCCCTGCTCATAAACAATGTTTAGAGCCAGTTGCATTTCTTGTTACCACTGGCTTCTTGTTACCAGGTGTCTCCTGTTTAAACTTTGTTCTCTAGTTCTCCTGCCCTTTTGCTATTAGAGCTTCTCAGTAACGATCCATATCCTAGCACTGGCTCATTTCATTCGCTGGGGTTGCTCTGAGACATTCCTACCAAAAGTTAACTCTTTTTAGTCCCGTTTGGTCTTAACATTGATCTCCCTGCCCCCATTTGCTTGAGATCTGGTCCACTACACCTGTGTGCTTGATGACTGACTTTATGACTCTGGTCATAGGTTTTAGCTTCTTGCACGTTGACCTGGTCATAACTGAACACTTTTGAGATGACTGTCAAAAAAGACAGATGGAGTAAACCACTGTAGCTGTCCTGACTAATTTAGTTTAACCACAAAAGCATTTTTTTAAAATCTTATTTTGCCAGTCCTAATTAATCTGTAATGCTTTCCTCGGCCCCCAGTGAATAGCTGGTTAGAGGACGGTACTTGGTAGGAGGAAGAGGCAGTTATGTAGTGACCCTTATTAAAATGTCAATCCATTGGAGAAAAGTTAACCTGTTAGTCAATCACACTGTGGTCTAAACTACATATTCATAATTCTGTTTGTAAAAATCAGCAGCATTGAAGGAACGGGACTTTTCTTTGGGGAGTGGGGAGAGCAAGGGTTGTCAGGAAGGACGATTTTTTTTTTTTTAATGTTTGTTTTTGAGAGAGATCAAGGTAAGGGCAGAGAAGGGGGGCGGGGGCAGAGGACCCGAAGTGGTCTGTGAAGGGTCTGTGCTGACAGCAGAGAGCCGGATGTGGTACTTGAACCCATGAACTGTGAGATCATGACCTGAGCCGAAGTTGGATGCTTAACAGACTGAGCCACCCAGGCACCTCAGGAACGAAGGTTTCTGATGGTGAGTGTTTGAGGGCCCAGAAGTGTAGGATTTAGGCAGGATGACCAGTGATGACCAGTGAAGTGGAGTGGTTCCAAAACCGGCTGTCCTCAGTATTTTGGCTAGAACTCTGAAAAGCCCTTGGATATTGTTTTTGAGGGCAATAAACCTTAGCTTCCCACACAGTAGTCCCTTTCCCTCTTCAGACCAGGCTGAGCTATTCCGGGTGAGCCTGCTGTCATGCTTCCAGCCTTCTTTTTGTTAAGTGGTGGAATAGAAAGAGAAATGTCTACAAGGCCACGTGCACTAATTCTGTATGGTACTCAAGCTTATTAGACTCTGACACCCATTCTCCATGAACTGTTATTGTTCACCGTATGTTGACATTGTTCAAAAAGTGGGGAGGTTCAAAGGCTAGGAAGGTCAGGCAGTGATTAAAGTTGCCAATTCAGGGAAAGGGGGGTAGAATGCTGATTCCACAGTTACTTGCCAAGTAATCTTGGGCAAATTACTTACCTCTAAAAAACCTGTTTTCTTGTAATCTCAACTACTTTTTAGGGTTGTTATGAAGATTAAAGAAAGTAATCCATTGGGGCACCTGGGTGGTTCAGTCTGTTAAGCGTCCGACTTCAGCTCAGGTCATGATCTCACGGTTCTTGAGTTCGAGCCCCGCATCAGCCTCTGTGCTGACAGTTTGGAGCCTGGAGCCTGCTTCGGATTGTGTCTCCCTCTGCCTCTGCCCCACTTGTGCTCTGGCTCTCTCACTTAAAAATGAACATTAAAAAAATTTTTTTTTTTTTTTTTAAAGAAAGTAATCCGTTGATAATGTTCAGATAGTTCTGGCATATGGTAAACTCATTCTGTTAAGAATTACTATCTGAAGGGAAATGGAGCAGAACAACGAACAGAAAATTTTGCATATTGACTGAATAATTGCACACTGGCAATTGTGCCATCTGTTTCTTGGTAGAGAATGGATGGATGAGAGTAAAAAATGGCTAGAAAACGACACGTGTTAGTGTGAGTCAGGCACTCACACGGTAGAACAGTCTTCAGTGTGCAAACGGTGGCATAGCTTACCTCTCCTGAAGTCATGCAGCTGAAACCTGGTGAATGGTCTGTTCAGCATAAAGTGACATTAGAGATTTCCTAGAGATTTCGTAACTTCCTGCATCATTGCACCTGCTGCATCAAAAACATGAGTTAAGGGTTATCTATATTAAGCACTACTTTGAGTATGTGGCCTGGAGCAAGGAAGACTGTCCATTTGATAGTATTGTATTGTTAAGACCCATTTAACATCTCATAACTCTTATTACTATCTCAAGGTAGATATGAAAAAATATACAGTAGTGCTTCTTTAGAATACCAATTATTTTTTATATTTGCTATTTTTTTTTATTCTTCTTAGAGTAATCAAGTCAGAGGATTGTATGACTTTTATCTGCCTAGAGAAGAACTATGGATCTACAACATGGAGACTGGAAGATGGTAACTGTGGATATTATGAGGGGGACTAAAAAATTCAAGTAAGGTTGCAAATAAAAACTCTGTGAAGCCCATTCTAATAAAACTATTTTATTTGAAGACGCAGAGTTATCTCTGTGTTCTAAAACCAACCTTGTACTAGTTTGGTTCAGCTGCTAAGCTTAGATACATTAGCAACTCTTCAGTAATTAGTTGGTGATTTTATTTTTTAAGTTTATTTATTTTGAGAGAGAGAATCTCAAGCAGGCTCTGTTCTGACACAGGCCTGGAACCTACGAACCATGGGATCATGACCTGAGCCAAAATCAAGAGTCAATATACTTAACCGACTGAGTCACCCAGGCGCCCCTACTTGGTGCTTTTATGACCTTCGAAGAAACTTGTATTCAGAGCTCTATGTAGTATCATTGTAATACTAAAATAAAGAGGTAGATAGAGGCTTCCAATCCTGGAATGAAAATATTATAAAAGTTCCATATGATGTTTTTTCAAGATGTTAGATCTTCTGTTACGTGGAAAATGAGAAAATAATTTCTAGATTGTATCTGCTAGAAATAAAGGTGGTGTTTTATTTTAATGAGCTCTGCCATTAAAGTTTCTATACAAATCTCTTTAAAATAGTGTGTTTTGTTTAAAGAAAGAAGTTAAATTTGCCTTCCATACAACTGGCGATATTCTGAAAAGGATCTTTTGCCAGTCTTGTGACAGTGGTCCTCAAAGAGGCTCTTGGCAGAATCTTAAGAGTTCAACTAAAAATGGGGCGCCTGGATGGCCCTGTCGGTGAAGCATCCCACTTCGGCTCAGGTCACCATCTCACGTTTGTGAGCTTGAGTCCCACTTTGGGCTCTGTGCTGACAGCTCGGAGCCTGAAGCCTGCTTCAGATTCTGTGTCTCCCAGTCTCTCTGCCCCTCCTCCACTTGCCCTCTGTCTCTCAAAAATAAATAAATGTTGAAAAAATTTTCTTAAAAAGTTCAACTAAAACTAAGTCAGGATTATTTCTGTACATAGCAAATCAGTGTTGATCTGAGCTGTTGGCTCATCTGTGTTTTGTTGTGTTTTTTTTTTTTCAAGAGAGAAATTGATAATGGTATTCCTTTAATAGGGGAATTCTACGAATTTTTAAAAAATTGAGCCCCATAAGGAATTTGTAAAACTAAGCCTGCCAAAGTTAAAGCTTAGCATAAAGTGATAGAGTGAGCAGAAGACTTTAACAGTCCTATTAATACTGTGAGTCTTAGGCCTTTTTGATTCAGATTCATTTTTAGATTCAGAAGGATTTAAAGCATGCAAAGCACTCCCAGGAGTGCCTGGCCTAGAGAAAGTATTACCCACGTGCCTGTAGTAGTACATTAGGTTTGAATCAGATTCATTTGAATGGCTAAAAGGTGACTAAATAAAACACACTTGTGGAATTAACCGGTCAGGAGTGGGATGTTTTCCTTTTAGGTACCTGGGTGACTCAAAACCAAAAACAAAATAGCCACTTATGGTTATATCAATAAAGAGCAGGTTAGTTTGAGAAACATAAAATGGTGTGCTCCTGGGCTTCCAGAGCTTCTCACCGTCCCTGTGTGTGGGGTCAGCTGGCGCAGCCTGTGGAATGGGTGAACAAAGAGGAAGGAACTCATTTCTTTGAATTAATTTTAGATGTAGACGAGACCCCCAGACGCTATCTAGCCGGCCAGCCCATTTTATTTTTTCCCTTTATTGTGGGGATAGAAGAAAAACAGGTAACTTTTGCATTTCTTCTCTTTTGGGAAACATTTACATTCAGTCTTTTTGCCCTCAGGAAGAAAATTAACACAGAAGGGGATGTTCCTCCTTCGATGTCAGGAAGCTGTGCGGTGTGTGTGGACAGGGTGCTCTACTTGTTTGGAGGACACCATTCAAGAGGCAATACGAATAAGGTGAGTGTTTCTAAGGATTGTGGTTTAAGAGCTCAACTAAACATGGGGTGCCTGGGTGGCCCTGTTGGTTTTTACTCTTTTTCAGACAACCTCCAATTTCTAAGGTTAGCCCATACTTATTCCTGTCCCAGTTAAAACATGCATGTCCTTGATAACGGTATGAATGTGCATTTTAGTATTTTGTCTACAAGTCCGTATTTCTCTATGCCTTTTGTAAAGTCAACTTTGATAACTTGTTTGCAGTAATTTCCTGAGTGGGTTTTCTTTGTTCTCTTTGCAGCTGTGGTTCTCTTAGAACCCTGGGGTGTTAGATAAATATTAGCAAACCAAATGAAAACAAGATGCAATGATGAGGAGCAGGGTAAAATGAACAGACCACCACTCGGCTATGAGGATAAATTAATACAGAATTTTATATACTAAAATTCCTGTAATATGGTACCATAAGGTACTGTTGTTCAGACTTTGTGTTTTTTCCAAATAGGAAAAAGATTAACAGTTGTTTTCTCAGGCCAGCAAAACACAAATATCAATCAGAAAGATGCATATGATTTAGGGAGTCTCTTAATAAATTTATTTAGCAACGTAGCACCTTATATACTGAGACTTGGTTAGACATTGGAGACACAGAGACGAATGATACAGTTCCCATCTCTAGGTGCTCACATCCTAGAGGGGATACACATAATAAGTAGATGGTTCCAGTAGCATATGATAAGAAGATACATAGAGCCTGGCTCATAAAATAGCTCAGTAAATATTGTTAAATCTGAAAAAGAATCCTTGACATTGTGTTTGGCAGGATGGAGGAAGAGAATAAGTAAAGTCTTTAACCAAGAGGGTTGAATAGAATCATAACTGGGAGAGGTAGCCAAGATGCAAGTATCAGGAGGCGGAAATATAAGCAAATGTTTTGTTCACGGAAATGCTAAGTGGTTTGGTGTGACTGGAGCATATGGCTGACAAAGTTTCAGACTATTCCTAGGAGCTCTAGGGATTTCTTTGAGATGCCTTGGGACCCCTGTGGGAGGAGTATCATGGTGTTAGGCAGGCTTCAGATCACCCCCCTACCCCTCCATCTTAACAGGTGTAGCTCTACTTCAGTTAGGCTTTTGCTTAAGATTTTGTGTGAAGTAAGGGTTCTGTGCCTAAAAGATTTTGTGAGGCACTGCTACAGGCTATAGTGGAGGTGTGTGTGTTTTAGGGCAAGGAAGAGAAAAAGAACCTTAACACCACATGAAGCAGCTTGGGGAAAAAAAGAAGCCGTGGCTTTAGGGGTAGACAGAAATGGCTAGAGTTGGGTATTTTTAAGTCTGATCAAAAGGAAGCTTAGGAGTCTTGGGAGAAATAAAAAGATATACATATAATGGCCAGGTCTCTTCAAGTATCTGGATGTGAAACCTTGGAAAGACCAGTACTTAATCTTTTAAGATTTATCCTTTGCTCCTAGAGTTAAGTAGGCGCTTAAGACATGTTTGTTAAATTGAATTTGAAGGTGAAATTGCTAAGTTGAATTCTTTTGGTGATACCGTCTTCAAACCCATAAATTAGATTAGCATAACTCAAAGTGCCTATGTAAGGCACAATATACTTCTGTTCCTTCATCAAAAAAATGAGGCTGTTAAACTGAGAACGAACTGAGGGCTGATGGGGGGTGGGAGGAAGGGGAGGGTGGGTGATGGGTATTGAGGAGGGCACCTGTTGGGATGAGCACTGGGTGTTGTATGGAAACCAATTTGACAATAAATTTCATATATTTTAAAAAAAAGTGGCTATTAGGGAAAAAAAATGAGCTCAACAGGGTGCTTAGCGACTTAGGTAATTTATATTCTGGCATAAGTTCCTTATGTATATTTGGAACAGTAACAGTCTGTAGTCACAATTGTAGAAGCACTGAATTAGATGACATTCCTATAGTCATAAATCACAACAAAACTAAATGCCAAGGTTGAGTTTCTTTTGCATAACCAAATCTAACTGAAATCATTGCTTCTGACAGTTCTACATGCTGGATTCAAGGTCTACAGACAGAGTACTACAGTGGGAAAGAATTGATTGCCAAGGAATTCCTCCATCATCAAAGGATAAACTTGGTGTCTGGGTATATAAAAACAAGTGAGTTAGCAGCCCCGTAGGTTTGGGTTTTTATGTGCAAAGGGGTTTGCCATTCAAGTATCCATAGCCCATAAACACTGTAACCCTAGAACATAACTTCTAGGGCCCATATGAGGATTATGTGAATTAATACATCAAAGCACTCAACACCTAAGACATAATTAGGCACAGTAGGCATTATTCTATGAATAAGAATTTTCATATAGTCAAGCATGCCTTCTCAGTTCCTAGCATGACAAAAGAAAAACTTCTTGTAACTTCCTAACCTGTGGATGTTAGAATTTTTAGTGTCTTGGTTTTTTATCAAACAGGTTAATATTTTTTGGAGGTTACGGATATTTACCTGAAGATAAAGTATTGGGAACTTTTGAATTTGATGAAACATCTTTTTGGGTAAGTGAAGTTTCATATTTGTATATGGTGTACTTAGTATGTTGAAATAATACATCTTATGTGTGCTAGTCTTGTTCATTTTGCCTTGTTCATAAACCAGACAAGGATATGTAATTTTACAAATATTATTTGAAAAATAACTCAGATTCTTACTCATTTTCTGTAGAATTCAAGTCACCCAAGAGGATGGAATGATCATGTACATATTTTAGACACTGAAACATTTATCTGGAGTCAGCCTATAACTACTGTGAGTTACTGAAGAATAATGAATTATTAAAGTAAGGCTACCTAGAAGAGAAAGGGAATTGGGAGGTGGTGTAAAATTGACAGTTCATTCTTGTTTTTCTGGAGAAAATCCATTGCTTTCATTATTCTCCAAGAAGTCCATACCTCAGAAAAGTTTAATGAATGTGTGGACTAACCTGGCATCTACTATCTAATAGATGTTAAGGGGTATTGCTTATAACTAAATAAATGACCTGGCAGTAGACTGTTAAGTTAATTAGATTTCTTTTTCCTCTGACGCAGGTGTCTTACAATGTGCTACCTTTTTATTTTAAAAAAAAAAACAAGCATTCCATTAACTAGTGCATTCAGTAATATATCTCCAAAATCTAAAATTACAGCTCCCAGGGTTAGTACTGCTGTTGACTAGACATCTGCACTTGAGCTTAAAAGCTCAAGCGTCTTGCATACCCTCATCCCACCTCCAGAGAAGACTGTTTATTTTAAAAAATTGCTTTTGTGACTTTTATAGGGTAAAGCACCTTCACCTCGCGCTGCCCATGCCTGTGCAACTGTTGGAAACAAAGGCTTTGTGTTTGGAGGCAGATATCGAGTAAGTTTGTGAACAGTTTCAATGATTTGCTTATTAGTCATTCAAAATGATAATTACTTAATTATCCTTTTTCAGGATGCTAGAATGAATGATCTTCACTGTCTTAATCTGGATACGTGGGAGTGGAATGAATTGTATGTATCACTTTAGATAATTTCTAAAATTTTTTAATATTTTTATTCTGTTAGCATAAAAATTTAAGCAGGTAAATAACTGAATTTAAATAAACATGATGTCTAGATCCTTAAATAAGGAATTTTATTTTTTGATTTCCTGTTCCACAACATGTGCTCAATGTTTGTTGAAAAGGTCTAAAGTTCACTCTGCCTTCTAAAAACATAGTTAATACCAAGCATGCAGCTATTAATACCAAGAAGCTTTTGGGGCACCTGGGTGACTCAGTCGGTTAAGCATGTGACTTCGGGTCAGGTCATGATCTCATGGTTCATGGGTTCAAGTCCCGTGTCAGGCTTTGTGTTGACGGCTCGGAGTCTGGAGCCTGCTTCCTGGATTCTGTGTTTCCCTCGCTCTCTGCCCCTCCCCGACTTGTACTCTGTCTCTCTCTCTCTCTCAAAAATAAATAAAACATTTAAAAAAAAAATTTAAAAATAAAAAAAAAAAATACCAAGAAGCTTTTTAAATCTAAAGTCTCTTCTGTCAAATATTCTGTATAAATTTTCACAGAAAATTTAAATATTTTTCCATATTAAACAGTAGCTACTTTTAAACACAGATATTGTAACTTAGCTATTATTTTCAGAATTCCACAAGGCATATGCCCAGTTGGCCGATCTTGGCATTCACTAACACCAGTTTCTTCAGATCATCTCTTTCTCTTTGGAGGATTTACCACTGATAAACAGCCACTAAGTAAGTCCTTTAAAAATATAAGAAATCATTATCATTCATATGTAATATATAAATAGAAGAAAATAATTCAGTCTATTTTAGATGTATCAGAAGGCTATAGGGTTGGTTGGACGTTTGCTATTATTTTTGATCCTATAATAAATCTATAATTGTTTTTGTACTATAACATCCATCTATTCTGTCCAGTGCAGCCCTTAAAAGCTCCACCTAAGGGTTGTGACATGCAAAGGGCTTACTTGATTAACTGCAGGGAAAAACCAGGATATTTACTTTCTCTTTCTACTTACAGTTTATTACCTTTCTTGCTAAAGCTGTGCCCTTTAAACATGAATGTCTCATTGACAAAATAACGTATTTCATGGCTCTTCTTTCTTTGCTTCAATCAGGTGATGCTTGGACTTACTGCATCAGTAAAAACGAATGGATACAGTTTAATCATCCCTATACTGAAAAGCCAAGGTATGAAGTATTTAAAAAGTAATTCTTGTACATCTTTATGGACTTCAATTATTCAGTACAAGACTGGGGACACCTGGCTGCCAGTCAGTAGAGCATGTGACTCTTAATCTCAAACAACCCTGAGTCCCACGTTGGGTATAGAGATTACTTAAAACCTTAAAAAAGATGTACAAGACTGGTAATGATTGAGGAAATTGTGGCTGCATTACATCCACTATTCTTATGATAAACACCCTAGCATTCACTAAGATTTAACATCCTACCTTTTTTTTTTTTAATGTTTGAGAGAGAGAGAGAGAGTGCACACGTGTGAGCATGAGTGGGGTAGGGACAGAGAATTCCAAGCAGGCTCTGTGCTGGCAGTGTGCAGATGCAGGACCCAGTCTCAGGAACCGTGAGATTGTGACCTGAGCCCGTATCAACAGTCAGATGCTTAACAGACTGAGCCACCCATGCGCCCCTAACATCAAACCTTTTGAAAGAAAAGAAAACCAATGCTATCCTTGTATTAAATGCTTTCTTTTCTGTCATGGTGCATGAAAAACAGGGCTGGATATTGACTTCTGCTGTTTTTATCATAAAATTGATGTAGTTAAAATTTATAATCAAGGTCTTTACTCCAGTGAATTGAACTGCTTCTAGGTTTGTCACTTAAAAAAAAAAACTGGAGAGAATTTCAAAACCTTGAAGAATGTATATGGGGGGGAAATCCAGAACTTTCTATTAGATTGGTAGGAGCACTGTATAACAAATACTAAATCAAATCACCCAAAAAGAAGAGTTATTTTTGTTAATCTCAAGAAGAATTCTTACAAAAACTGCCAAAGCAAATGATATAGTCACAACTGGTATTCAAAGCATATTTAGGTAGGTCAGCCTGCATTTCCCCACAAGTCTCTAATTTCAGTACACTTATGCCATAAAGGCTTCATCTGGCAGAAAAATTCTCCCATAGAATTACCAGGCCTGAGACTTTGAGTAGGTCAGGCAGATTCACAGCATCCTTCAGATTTTTTCTTTAATGTCAACTGACCCTGCCTATGAAAAGAAGAAGATTGAGAGGGCATGTAGCACACATCTCCCGTAAGATTTTTATTGCTAACAAAGACCTAGAGAACAGATCATTCAGTTCAAACCCGTCATTGCATAAGTTAGGACTGGACCAGATAGATAAAATGGTAACATCCAGATAAAACAGACATTAATAGATTTTTCTAGCTTTTGCTACTTAAGATAATTGCTGCTCATCATTAGGTTTTGGTCTGTACTGAAGATCTCTAGTCTTTATTTCATCATTGTGTTCGTAGTGTAAATTGTCAACTTGGTGTCTGGGTAACTTAAAACTCTTGTTTTAAATTAGATTATGGCACACAGCTTGTGCCAGTGATGAAGGAGAAGTCATTGTTTTTGGTGGATGTGCCAATAACCTCCTTGTCCATCACAGAGCTGTAAGTTGTACTAAGTATACTACCCTGTATTAAAGGACACTTCATCATATTTCTGAAACTTGTGGAGTACTTACTTTTTAATATGTTCTTCATTTTCTATTTTTCAGGCACACAGTAATGAAATACTTATATTTTCAGTTCAACCAAAATCTCTTGTAAGGTAAGTAACTTTTTACTTGGTACTCAGATTATTTTAAATTAGTGCTCTTGAAAAACCAGGCTTACAGATAATTTAAAGGCAATGACAAGTTTCCATTGATAAAACTAGTTCTTTAAACAAAGTGGGCTTTTGTTTTTTTGGTAATTCTTCAAACAGTAAATTTATTTTTCTCTTGTCCACTTTCAGGCTAAGCTTAGAAGCAGTCATTTGCTTTAAAGAAATGTTAGCCAACTCGTGGAACTGCCTTCCAAAACACTTACTTCACAGTGTTAATCAGAGGTTTGGTAGTAACAACACTTCTGGATCTTAAGGCTTCATAGATAATGCCTCTGATCACCTTGCATGGACAGCAATTCTGTAAACATCAGAGAGTGGCATCGTTTGTATAATTATATGCATTGTTGTAGTTTGCAGCTTTTTGGTTTTAATGTGCATGTGAATGGCCTAGAGAACCTATTTTTGTGTCTAAAGTTTACAATAAATGTATTTAACACCAGTAACTGTCTTCTATTAAAACAAAAGAAAATGATACTTGGCTTTTTACCCCGAGGAATGGTTATTATATTTCCTTTTTGGTAACTTCAGGATATATAGCTATAGAAACATACTAATTATTCTTATCACTATCAAAATGGTGATGTTATTTTTTTAAATTTATATATATATATATTTTTTTTTAAATAGCAAGAGTAGTCTGTTGTATTTACAACACTGGCTATATGTATAATTACAAAGTTTTTTTTTTTTTTACATTAATTTCAAATGGAAAAACATTATCAACAGGACTAAGCTGGTAAAAGAAATTTTGGAAGGACCAACAGCTGTTTAGTGCTTTGACCTTAATGCTTTGGTATAGGGGCTGGGGCAAATGGTCATATTGACTGTAGGTAGCCATTGTCTCATCATTTAAAAAGTGACAGCTTTTTAGCTCATAAAAGAATGGAAATGACGTAGGACTTTATTCTCCATTTGTTAGGAGACAGAAGAAGAAAGCTGTGTCAGGAGTCTTTAGTGGTAAGCCTAAAAGTGCACTTATGATATCCTAGGTTAAGATACTCTGTAACATGCTGATAATTACTAGAGGTAGAAAATAAAATGGTACAGAACTGAATGAGATTACAAGGAAGAAGTGAGGATGAAAAGTGAAGCTGTATAAATGAATGGAAATGATCAATACCATTTTTTCTAGGTGTTATTTCTTAGGCTGAATTATGTCTATTTTAAATCTGGTCTAATATATTTTTTGACAAGTACAGGTAACGGCAGAAGGCTTCCAAGACTTAATCCTAAATGTTTAACTGCCCCCAAGCCCCACCACCGCACCAGAACACGAAAAACCACCTGTGATTGGCCTGTAACAGAGCTCTGACACTATACACGGTAGACGACCAAGTCAGCGTCCGAGCAACTGAGCCACTTCACTCCAGTTTCTGTACAACATGAAATGAAAACTTAGTATTAACCTCCCAAATTTTAAGAAAACGTAGGAGAATAACTACAGATGTATACAATTAGCATGTAACTGTCCACAAATATTTTAGGAAATCCTATCCGCGTTTCCTCTCTATAAAACTGGAAAAAAAACAGTAAGTCCTTTTGGCGAATATAGCAAGGCAATGTTTAGTTCATTTTTAAATGCGGAAGTCTTGTTACATGGTGTGTTTTCATCTCTGAACTTCCAAAAGGCTATAAAATTGGCTCTTCTCAAATATTTTAGGGTTTCATTTCAGCTATTTTCTTTTTACATTCAGAAGATTGGGTGCAGACACTTTGACTTTGCCAGGAATATTTCTTGATAAATCCGTGTCCTAAAAAAAGAGAATTGCTGAATATCTTCACATGCTATATGGTAGTCATGTTTCTTTTATGATAATTATGTGCCCTCTGCTGTCAAAAGAAAGGCATTTCCAAAATTTCCAACTGAAATGATCTTATTTTACTCCTTCTAGTAAGACAGCATTTTCTACCAAAACAAGAGCTGCAGCTTGGCATGTATTAAATAAAGAACCAAAAGTAGAAAAGTATAACTGCTAACATTTTTAATTGCACCACCCATCTCCAGACTTCTGGAGGAATACTTTACCTTTACACTGCGAAATAAGTCTTTTTCTCTTGCTGTGGCTTCTTTGGAATGCATGAAACTATTCAAGGCTGTTTTTGCAGCTGTAAATAGAAAATAGAAGACTCTACTTCTGTGCAGAGAAGAAGCGATCAAAATCATTCATAAAAAGATTTTAAATACCTTTTCCCTTTTTCTGAACTCCAGGAGTAAGTTTCACTTTGTATCTTTTAAGAAGGAATTACATGTATTACTAAATAGAAATTTCAAAACAATTCATAACCATTATGTCAGCTATTTTGAGTAAACTAAAGACGACTTACTTATAGTTTGTCATGGTGGAGTAAGGGGCACAAATTGGGATGGCAAATAGTAATACATCTTCAGGATGTGGCTGCCCTGTCAAAGAGTCAAAGAGATTTTCCTAAAAGGGAAAAGAAAAACCATTATAAAATGCATACCAGTCCTAGAAAAAGGAAAACTCTAATATTTCAACTCATATTTTTATCATTTTTATCTTTTTCTGATCTTTTTCCCCCACCCTTCCCTCGATAGACCTTCAGTCTTAAGACCAAATGGTATTTATACTTCTATTCTTTACTAAAAATTTTTTCCATAGCATAATTCTCACATGATTTTCAAAATGGCACTTGTAAATACATACAAGGGAAAAAGAAAAAACTTGTTGGATAACAGTACATTGCAGAAAACTGCTATGGATTAAAAATAATGTATAATAATGACCACAAATAGATTTAAATCCATTGCATGGAAATGAGACTGATATTTTGGCTAGACCAGTAGTTCCTGACCACGGGGATTTTTCTGTCCCCATTCCCCACTCCCCTCCGCCCCTGGACACTTTTGCCTGTTCTTAAGGAAGAATCTTCTAGCCTTCTTAGAGTTGCTCTTTGGTGGGCTGCCTATAAGATGAGCCGTATTTATTTAGCAACATGAATAACCTTAGACAAGATGCTTGGTGTTCAAGTAGTGTTTACTATGTTCCATGGACTTCTCTAAATGCTTCATGTGTATTTTCAAAACAACTCTCTCCTCTTAAGGACAATTATCCCCACTCTTCAGATGAGGAAACAGAAGCACAAAAAACAATGGCTCAAGGTTGCAATTACATGTAGCAAAGTTAGGATTTAAACCCAGAATGTTGGACTCCAGAGCCTGTGATCTTGTCTTAGCTTTTAAAGTTTTAAGTAGTGCTTGCTTCGGCAGCACATACACTAAAGTTTTAATTAGAAACTGTGTGTCAAATGTTTTGGAAACTAAACTGTAGTCATTGTGTGTCACTGTAGAGACCCCAACACAAAAATCATACCTCATTACCCTGTTGATCCAGATCTTGCTCTTCCTGCTCCAAACATAAAATTTTAAAAGTCAGCTATAACTTAAATTGAAATTCCACATGATTAAAAACTATGAGGAGAAAAAAATATTAATATAGCAAGATTGTCACATTGAACCAACAGGTTATGGACCCCAAGAATGTATTCTTCAGTGTCACAAAACTCTAGTGAATTAATTTGTGCATCTAATATTTTATTTTTTTTAACATTTATTTTTATTTTTGAGACTGAGACAGAGACAGAGCATGAACGGGGGAGGGTCAGAGAGAGGGAGACACAGAATCTGAAACAGGCTCCAGGCTGTGAACTGTCAGCACAGAGCCCAATGTGGGGCTCCAACTCACGAACCGTGAGATCATGACATGAAGTCGGACGCTTAACTGACTAAGCCACCCAGGCGCCCCTGTGCATCTAATATTTTAGAGAACAGTGCAATTCAAAGAGAAAAAGGATTGTTCTCTGAAGTGTTTTTTTTTTAAGGACTTTCATTTGGAGTACATGCTAAAACAGTAAAATGTAAAATGCCTATTTAAAATTACAACTAAATCTGATGTTTGCCAAAAGAAAATGGAGAATCCTAGGGAACAGAACTTTTATTTTTTAGTCTTTCAACAGTTCTAAGAATTTTTCACTATTAAGGTAAGCTTAGGGGCGCCTGTGTGTCTCAAGTTGGTTAAGCGTCTGACTCTTGATTTTGGCTCAGGTCATGATCTCACCAACTGTGAGCTTGAGCCCCACATCGGGCTCTGTGCTGTATGGAGCCTGCTTGAGACTCTCACACACACACAATAGGTAAATATAAAAGAAAAAGGTAAGTTTAATTTTGTTTTGCTTTGCTTAGATTATCTCCAAATAGATTTTTTATGTATGATTCATTACACCCCAATATTTATGAGTTTACAGTTTACAGAATTACAAATAAGAGAACAGTGTAAAAAAATCTGAGGATCAAACTGAGTTATAACATCACTAAACAGTAACATTGTCCAGAGGAAAAAAACAGTAACACATTTAGAATCCCTGTAAGCATTATCTGCACTGAACAGAGCAAACCATTCTAACCAAAGCTTTAACTGCAATAAATAAAATACAGGCTAAGTGAAATTTTTTCCAATTTTATAAAATAATCATTTGCTCAAGATTTCAAGATCTCAGGCAACCATCTTAACTGGAAAAAAGTTAACTTCTAACTGGTTTTTCAACCAGAGCACTTGGCAATTTCAACATTATGTAAGATAATACAGCATATATTCTCATAGAAAAATCTAGAGTAGCACAAATTTATTCCTACTCCTCTTCAAGATAATCCCAATTATTTGTCTTATTTTAACGAAGTTCCCACTAGAATCAAAGCCTCTCCATACAATTCTTTTCTAAAGGCTTGTGATAAATTACTTACCTATGAACATGACCATTTTTATGCTTACATCCTGGAAATGTAGTCTTTTAGGTTGTATTTCTAAAATGACTTTTCCATTAAGGATAAAGTTACCACTTGTCCTGGTTTTAGCACTTGTAAGCCTCATATTTTGGGAACCTGAGGTGATTAGTGGCCCTAATTAATGAAGCAAAAGCCCACATATGTGTGGTAGCCTTACCTTGTCATCATGTGGATCATCTACAGCCAAGTCTTGTAACTCTGGAGTTACAACCTCAAGGGAGGGAGTTTCTTTCTTTATGCTGTCTGAAGCCCTTTGTCCACCTCTAGGTCTCTGGGTCTGTTTCTTCACAGGTTCATCCTTTGTTTTTCCTTTCTTCCCCTTCTTCCCCTTTTCTTCTTTGTTTGAACCTGCAGACTTTAATTCATAGAGGTAAAATAATGTAAGTATGTTCAATATTGTCAATATTTTAAAAGTTTTTTATTTATTTGTTTAATTTACACCCAGGTTAGCATACAGTGCAACAATGATTTCAGGAGTAGATTCCTTAATGCCCCTTACCCATTTAGCCC